CAAATTTTCCATATTAATGAATAGATTCAAAACAATGATTAAATGATTCATTTGCATTATTGGTCAAAATGGTCATGGAAATCTAATTTGTCATTTTTAAATAAAAAATATGTGAGATAGGCTAAATAATGCTGTTTTTGAACATTTATTGCTTTGTTTGTATAAATTAAAATTATTTTTATTCTTAAACTTAAGAAAAATATGTATCTTACATAGTTTTTATTTTACTTCTAGCATGAAAAAAATGTATTTGACTTATAGATGAAGCAAATTACAGAGCAAACCCATAAATATCAAGACACGTTATGTATCAAATTTTCCCAAAAATGTAACTGAAACTAGGGTTGTAACGATATACCGGTTTATCACGGTTTGAACGTGCATGGTTATCATACCGTAAACATTTGCATATCTACGGTTTAAAAAAATATATAAAAATGAATGAAAAAAATCTCTGCAGAATGTGCAAAATACACATTGCACATGCAACTTATTTCCGCTCGGCTGCTTCACTCTGCATTCACTTGGCTGCTTAACGTTACACGCACGTGCAGCGGAGAAAATGTCAGGGACAGAGATGATATTTAATCTCCATCCCCGCCGAAAAAAAAAGTTAATATCTGCAGTATGGGAATACTTCGGATATTTAAAAAAAACTAACGCAGGGTTGTCCTTGAGGACGGATCCAATTTGCAAAAAATGTAGACGCAAAGTGGCTGCAAAAGCAGGCAATACACCCAACATCTTCGCTCATATTCGCGGACACCATCCCTCCGTGCAGATAAAGGTATGTCGCATTAATAACAAGTTATAAGTTAAGGCCGTATGATTTCCGTGAAGCAGAGGGAATCCAGAGGTGAGGTCCATGAGTGCAGTCATGAACATGGAATTTACAGTATAACGAGGATGTCACGTAAAACGAGCAATCGGATGGACAGATAAATCAAAAGTAGTTATGATATGTGTCTGTGAATATTAAAGCGCTACTGTGATAACCGTGAAAATCTCATACCATTACAACCCTAACTGAAACACTAATTTAAATCAGCATATTAATTCTAAAATGCTGATTTGGTGCTCAAGTAATATGTTGAAAACAGTTGTGCTGCTTCACATTTTTGTGGTAACTCTGATGAATTTTTTCAGGATTCTTTGATGACTAGAATGGCATGTATTTGAAATAGAATCATTTGCAACATCTTAAATGTCTTTTATGTCTTTTAATCATTTAAATGTATTTTTGCTAAATAAAATTATTAATTTCTAAAAAAATAAAATAAAATACTGACCCCAAAACATTTGAATGGTAGTGTAATGTATATATAACTAACGACAAAATACAGAAAAACACAGACAAGGGGAAATGAAAATCTACAATGAAAACTACAAACAGAAACAGGTGTAAACCCTCCCAACAGAACAAGAGCCGCTTCAAACCTCTCATACTTCACTCACTACAGTACCTACTCTCCATTGATTGGGGATTTCCCAACATCACTGGTGTGTGATTGGCTGGCTGTGTGGCTCCATAGCAGCAGACATAAAGAGCCAGTGAGGGGGATAAAAACCCCAGAAGTGCGCGCACACACACATATTACAAGAACACAGAGAGACTTCAGAATTACAGCACATTAAATCATTAAAAGACCTTATAATACTGTTTAGATTACTGTAATGCCACACACTCAGTATCCTTCACCCATAATCACCAACCACTTATGCCAGCTGAAAGCTCTCCACCACTGTGTAAGCGCTGGATTACTTCACAGAGCTACAGTATACTCAATAACATCAGCACATTCTGCTTTCATTCACCCAAAAATCGCCTCTCATGTCCATATTATTGAACATTTCACAAAATTGTATATTCGATATTGGACAATTACAATGGAATGCAACTGCAGGAAAAGCTTTTAAAATGGAAATGAATACAGGGAGCAAATGGAGATGAATGTTCAAAGACCTATGTGTATTAACACTCTCCAGGCTAACGGTTATAGCCAGAATAAAATATTAACAACTACAGAACCTTGCTGTGCTGTCACTCAGAGAAGCGTTAAATATAGCCTCCGTCCTTCTGCCGTCGACCAGGATGCCACACGGTGACACAATGTTACTGTTGTTAAGAACAGAGCTTTCATTTAATGAGCACTCCGGCACATATGTTTTCATTACAGATGCTGAAGCACACATCATTAAAGTCACTGAGAGGGAACAGAGAACCGCCGTGAGTTACAGTGTGCTTGAGGTCGGGATGTGCAGTAGCTGTGTGTGTGTGTGTGTGTGTGTGTGTGTTTAGATCCCGTTGCTTCTCTATCATCCCCAAAGGCTCCTGCTGGATATGTTACAGCTGTATCACACCTAACGTTATGATCAGATTACATGCTTTTGTCAGACTTCATGTGAGTCTCTTGTCTTGTTTGTCTTTCTCCCGCCTGCTGTGAGCGAGTTCAGCCCAAAGCGCCCTGAAAACAGCACTACGCAGGACAGATTCGATGGCAACAGGTTTGCAGCATGGATGAGCGAGCTGCTGGAAAAACACTGCTCCTGGACTAGGTATGTAGAAAAATATAGATTTTCAAAATTAACTAGTTAGTGCATTGTTTGAATGACTAGTCAACTAATTTGGAAAAGGATTTAGTTCTTTTCAGGGGGAAAAAAGCCATTTTTATGGTCAAATTTGAATTATTTTTCATTTGACATATCCAAAAAAAAAGGGATCTAAACACACACATACAGCTACTGCACATCCCGACCTCATCATCCAATAATTTACATGTCAAAATTAGTGAGCTTCACATCTTTTTATTATTATTTACTTTTTCATTTTCACTATACACTACAGTTTTTTTTAAATAAAATTAATACATTTATTTTGCAAAGATGGATCGAACTGATCAAAAGTAACAGTAAAGACATTTAAAATGTTACAAAATATTTCTGTTTTCAAATAAATTCTTATGAATCCTGAATTCAGTTCTTTTGAATCCTGAAAAATACACCACAGTTTCCACACAAATATTAAGCAACAAAACTGATTTCATCATTAAAAATAACAGCTCAGCATATTAGAATGATTTCTGAAGGATCATGTGACACTGAAGACTGGAGAAATGGCTACTGAAAATTCAGCTTTGCATCACAGGAATAAATTACATTTTAAAATATATTCAAATAGAAAACAGGTAATTTAAATTATAATAATATTTCAGGTCATACATTATTTTAAGATCCATTTTTCACTATGAACTAACTATTAACGACGACTTTTGCCTCAATAAACTCCTAATTACTGCTTATTAATAGTTAGTAAGGTAGTTGTTAAGTTTAGGTATTGGGTAGGATTAAGTATGCAGAATATATGCTTTATAAGTACTAATAAACAGCCAATATGCTAGTAATACTCATGCCAATAAGCAACTAGTTAATCATGAAAATTGGTCCCTGTACTAAGGTGTTACCATATTTCATAGTATTACTATTTTTACTGTACATAAAGTAAATGCATCCTTGGTGAGCACAAGAGACTTCCTTCAAACACTTAAATAAATTATTGACCTTAAACTTTTTACTGGTACTGTGTGCATCTGTGTAAAATCTAGAGAAAATAGTAAACTTTACTAATATTGTCTAGTTGGTCGATGGTGTCAATTAGTTGATTCATTACAATCTCGAACCAGGCCAGCTTTCTCAGGCAACATCTGCTTCCTGTATTTTTTCCTCAATGATCCTTCTCCAAAGCTTAGTGTCCAATCATTCCACTGTTATTCATAATATGGAGGATTTCTGTCAGCCTCGAGATTGAGGTTGAGTGAGAGAGTGTGTTGTTGTTGTTGAGACTGTGTATTCGTTTGTGCCCACTCTCTCCTGTCAGACAAGACGAGCTCCAGTAATGCCAACCACATAGTGAAATTCTGACATTTGTCTTGCAGCAGAAGTTTGGTAGGTAGGTTACGGCATTATTCATGTCTTCACTCAGTTAATCAATGCTGGGATGTAGGCTGCCTGTTCAGCATATTTTCACGAGTTTCTAAATGTTTCAGCATTTCGATATTAGTCATCTTTACAATGAAAGCCATGTTACTCAATTCATGCACTGGGAAACTCATCCTATTTCAGAGAAAGGCTTGACAACTGAACGCATTGATGATTCATAGTATTTTGCATGTACTTTTAAACATTAAGAGCAATTACAAGCAGTCCTCCATATGTATTTTGCTAATTAAGGATGATTACACGTGTGTTTATGAAAGCAGAGAGTCTCATCTATCTTTCGCTGAAGCTGAACAAAATGATTGGGACTGGTGTACATTTCCACAACCCACATACTGCCTTGCCTGCATCACCATAGTAACCAAGACGAATGCCAGAGCACCGACATTTCGTCTGGTAGAGGCAGGCGGAAGGTCAGGACTGTGAGGGGGTGAGGAGGGCAAAGTTCGGCCCGACCACAGCCAGTAAACAAACATCTCTAAGCCATCCACCCGGTAATCACGCCACTTAGCGTGACGGGCTGCGCATAATCTAAACTACGAGAGTAGATCTGAGGTTATGAAAACATCTTGAGATATTTGTCACAGCTGTAACTTAACTCATTTTCTGACAGCATGCCATATGGAGAGAGGGTGTGAGACTAGCGCACAGTGGAGGCTTCATCTGTTTATATGGATAAATCTGTGAAACACTGTGCCGTGCTCTTGGGAGTGACAGTTTTTTCAGCGCAGTAAGGGGTTCGGGAGCAGGAACGTATCTTAAAGGCTATGTGACCATTTGATCTTGGGTCACAAGGAGGTCTGTTTATCTGGAGTGTCTGATATCATGATTTGGCAGGAGATGAGAGTTGGGTGCGCTGGTGGAGTGAGTGTTAATGACTAGAGCTCAGGTGTTGGTCTGAGAGCAGCAGTTTGGTGTGACTTTCCCCTCTTGATTTAAAACAGCTGAAGGAGTGAAGTATAGTACGCATAAACAAACATCTACATTAGAAAGTTGCAGTTACTTACTGATGTATACAGGTAGCCCTCGCTGTTCATGGCCAGATAGAGTTTGGTCTGAACTCCTTGGATGGCCACCACTCGCAAGCCAACCGGGATGAGGTTGAACATGGCTGTATAGAAAACAAAGAAAAGTCATATATTTGATGTTAGGGGAAGTGAAAATAAAGCAAGCCTGGAGCATTTTACATTCCCAAAATGCACCCCATGGTCTGGTTCATTTGAAGCGTTTACATACAAAGCAAATTCTTGCACAACTAATAAAGTGTCATCCAGAGACAGGCATAACGCAAAATATGCAAGCAGCATGAGTCTGAGAATGCAGAGTGCATGCTTACGTTTCTCATCAGCATCATGTCAGCCACGCTGACATTCTGTACAGTGTCCACTCACATACACTTCATCAACACAGCGCCCGACTCACCAGAATCCGCAACGATTACTAACACTCCAGTACAAACACCCTAGAAATGCTTTAGCAACTCTCTAGAACGCAACCAGCTAGCATCTATCTGACAGACTGTCTATTTTTGTAACAACTTTATGGACTGTAAAAGCTTCAAGCCAACATCAACGTGTACCTAACTACAAGTAGTTGGGTTTAGGGATGTTCATTCCGGTTAATTTTCCTGACCGATAACAGTTACTTGTTGAATGAATGAATGATGAATTAATTTCATACATCATCAAATTATCATGCACCTGCAGCACTTCTGAGAACAGAGAAAAACTAAATAAAATAACAAATAAAAAGAATAAAATAAATAGGCCTACGCTAAATATTTTTCAATTAAATAATTAACATTAAGATGACAAAACGAAAACACACTTAAACCTTCTATGCACCTTAAAGAACTGGCAGAGTCTTTTTTTTCGTCAGACATAAAAATAAATAGCAGGCCTACCTCAGTGCACAATGTGTCTAGTTTTTATAAACTGACCATTACCGCCCGCTCTCCCGCAACGTGTGTTCCGCTTTCACGTCTGTGAAATCGCTCTTGAATGGGCTCGCTGTTCACTTTCGATTTCGCGTTCACGCGCACTCTGTGTAAAGGAGCACATCTAATCTTACAAGATCAGATATTTGTCATTGAGTTCAGGATCTGCTGAGCAGCAAATACTCCAGCATGGTCTGTCAGTCATCTATCCTATACTACTCTCGACCCGTGATCAGTCAATACTTTAAATACTACTCTCGACCCGTGATCAGTCAATACTTAAAAAAATTACCTTTTAAACCGTTTAAACTGATAGTATTAATCGGTCAATTTTTTTACTTTCGGTTAAAGGTTAAACGGTTAATATGAACATCCCTAGTTGGGTTTTATTTTTCCTCAACTATCTGGCCTTGATTATATCAGTAGAAAAGTTGTTTTTAGCTATAAGATTCTGAAACTTTTTTGAATAGTCCATTGTTCTGATAAAATGTCACGTTTAAAATGCATTTTTAAAATATTACATTTAACATTACAAAGACAGCGTCACTACTGTAAACTAGAACTTGTTTTTGATTGAAATAAAGCTGAAATAAAACAATGTACAAACAATGTAGAAATATTGCTTGTCACCTAACTGAAATAAAATAAGTTGTAGTATTAAAAGCTCTAGTATTAAATTAACTCATACTTAAACTGAAATTAAAAAGCTATATATATATATATATATATATATATATATATATATATACAGTATATAACTGAAAATTAAAAAATAAAAGCTTATTCAAAATAATAAATACTATAATAATATATAAAACTTTGCAACTTTACAGATCTTCTTTATGCACCAAGAGCTTGTAACACTCCAAAGAGAAAGGAAAATTGAAATCGCATCATATGACCCCTTTAATGGAAATGGTTTTAACACATTTTACTGCATTTTTAACCGTGATCTATTTCCAACTGTATTATAGTTAAATCCAGTGCACTTTAACCTGACTTATTCTCATCTACATGTGGCAGCATTTCATCTCCATCCCTGGCACTTGTGCGTTACGTTTTCTCTGAACTGCCGCCTCTTTAACATAGTTCCTCTTTTTCCCTTTCACATGCGCTCTCTTTCTCTCTCTGTCTGTTTCACACTCTTCCCTCCATCTCTTTCACACATTCTTTCTCTGTTGAGCAGAGTTAGTGAGCTGTGCGGGGCTCTGTCTTCCTGATACCACTGGCTGGGCCAACTCTCCTCACACCTTTGTCCCCCCTGTCACCACGTAAGCCACAAAGCTGACAATCTCTCCCATCCACACAGCCTCTTTCTGCCAGTGGGAAGAGTGAAGCAGCCAGCCAGCCACCCCTGACACTGAGAGTTTCTGAGGAACATAAGCTTGGGAAGAAAAAAGCACAAGCTTTTTGAAAGGGGGGAAAAAACATATGAGCCATTTCACTGGTTATGTAACTTAGCTTGATTAAAAAAAACAAGAAGGAAACAAACTTTTTGTTAAGTAAAAGGCTGCTTTCCTTCAAGTCAGAGAGTATGTGTGTGTGTTAACAGAGAACAATGCACACTGATCTAGATTAGCACATTTATACTGCCTTCATGTGACAACCATACAAGATATCAAAGTACAATATTTTGTGTTTTAGGAATATATACTCACATCATATAAAATATTATCCCTCCTTTATCTCCTAAAGGGTTAGTTACCCCAAATATGAAAATTCTGTCATTAACTCACACTCATGCACTTTTTCTTCTAAAGTTATATGACAGTTTTGTGATGAACTGACCATTTTTTCCAAATCTGATCAATTAAAAATTTTAATATTAAGTGATCTATTTATTTACTTTTAAGGGTTAGTTCACCAAAATAAATAAATAAATAAATACATTTTTTAAATCCTCACCCTCAAACCTATAAGACTTTTTGTTCATCTTCAAAATACAAATGAAAATATATTTTTTAACAAAACCTGATATATACCTGTCCCTCCATTGAAAGTCCATTCCACCCAAAATTTGACACTTCAAAAAGTTCATAAAGAAATGAATCAAGCTAAATTAGTCCAAGTCTTCTGAAGAGGTATGATCACTTTATAATTTGTACTGAGCTTTTATTCACATAAAACATTGATCAATGCTCATACAATAGAGCACATGAAATATGGTAAATGGGAAAACTCAAACATGCATGCTTGAAGATGAACACAATTCTTATGGGTTTGGAGCAAAATGGTATGTAACTGATGACAGAATTTTTATTTCTGGGTGAACTATCCCAATTTTTGTCAATATTTACACACTCTCATCTCATTTCAAATAATCTGGGTGAGCAAATTTAGGTGAACTATCCCTTTAAAGGGGTCATAGGATGCCTATTTTCCACAAGTTGATATGATTTTTTAGGGTCTTAATGAAAAGTCTGTAACATAGTTTGGTTAAAATTTCTCAATGGTAGTGTAAAAAACACCTTTTTTACCCTGTCAAAAACAGCTCGTTTCAGAGCATGCAGATTTGTAGCAATTTCCTTTAAATGTTAATGAGCTCTGCTGATCCCGCCCCTCTCTTAACTCAATCTACGTCCCTGCTTCCTCACCCTCCAGAGAGAACATAACGAGAAACCCCTTCTGCCTTTCATCATAAACATGAAAGCTCTTGATTAATATTTCTTATTTCCTGCAGAGCTCAATCGATGGCCATGTTGCTATTTTACACAACAGTCCGGAGTGCTCTCCATCCCCTCTAATCCCACATCAAGGCCCTTCCTCTCCCCTCTGACACCAGCCAGGTCCACCTGTAGAGATCTGCTCTCTTCCTGCTCTGTGGTCTATGGCCACTGACTCATATGAAGAGTTTTAGATGCCAAATGCAGATGCTTTAATGAGCTATTGATTACATTTGTATGATAGGAAGATAATATGTTTTTCGTATATCTTCATCTTTTGTGGCATAGACACATAAGCAGTTACGAGCGGACCTCATTTCAGAGAGATTACCAGAGCTTGGTCGCTGGGGGTTGTGGAGAGGAGACTCAATTACTCACACCTAATAGAGAACCTGAGCACAGAGATCTGGGAAGATCAAGAAGGCACAATAATAATTTCTACAAAAAGGCCAATATAACAACCATCAGAATTCAGTAAAGAGTCTCTCCTACAGCACCAATCACTGAAAACATGGGTGAGAAGACTTCCTGTTCACTTAGCATAACACATAAAGGATTAGTTTGGCCAAAAATGAAAATTCTGTCATCATTTACTTCCTCAAAACGTGCATTTACTCTAGATGCAATTCAGTGCAGTCACAAATAATAGGGACTAGAGATTACAAGCTTTAAAAAGGACACAAAACACCATAAAAGTGTCACACAAGTAGTCCACATAAATCGTTTTCTTCTTAAGTTTCATAGCACTTTTTAATTCTAAAGTTACATGACAGCTCTGTGACAAAAATTGAAGTCAAAATTGAACACACTGATCAACAAATTTACATATTATGTAATCTATTTAACAAATTTAAATATTATGTAATCTATTTATTTATTTAATTTCTAAAGGGTTAGTTCACCCAAAAATAAAACCAAAAATCTGATGCTTCAAAAAGTATAAACCCCTGTACAGTAAAACTGGGTAAACTTTTATTGCTTGTTTAGGGAAACGTTTCGGCATTTCATTCAGATGTTAGTATTTCAGTTTATTATATCCAGAGATAAATCAGACTGATTAGAATACGACCGTGACTGACTGAAAAACACATCAGCCCACTCTTCAGATGGAAGGCAAGTTAGCAGAGATAAAACCTAATGTTGACAGAGAGAAAGGCCTCCTGCCAAGGCACATTGATTAGGAATTGAATTAAGCTCTAAAACTCTGCACAAAGAGACATAATCCAATAGAGCACCCATACCTGACATTTACTGCCCAGAATGAGCTTTTGTCTTGTTCCTCCAAGAGCTCATCACAGTCAGACTTGAGAGATGGAAAGGCTGATTTTCAATAAGGTCTTTATCTTTAAATGTCTGCTTCTCAACCCCTTGATCTGCCCAATTCATCTAATAAAATCCATGTGATTCTATCATTATCAAATGGCAATGGGACCTTCTCATTCTGGCTGTCATCCTCACATAGTTAGAAATAACCAATAAAACATAATAATTTATAGATTTTTGAGTGTTTTGCCTAAATCTTCATGTCAAGCCTACAATCTTTGAGAGTAAGAAGATATTTATCATTTATTTATTTATAGCACCATGGCATGACTTTAGGGCAACAACAAAAAAAACATTTGGCTGAGATATGCTATAAACACCTAAAAACTGGTACTAATGTCATATTTATGGGATTTAAGTGAAACAATGCCATAATATTTTAAACTTGCTCAGATCACAATCAGAAGCGCAATGAGCATTAGTTAAGGTAAGAGACGTATATCTAGAGAGTAAAGAGAGCTTTGGAGCAGACCCTCATCCCTATCAAACACACACACACACACACACACACCAAGAGGAGAGAGCCAAGAGAACTGCACTGCCGTTGCTATGGAGACAAGGGCACCAAGCTCCTAACAATTCTATTTTTGTAGCGTGAGAGATAGAAGCTCCCTTTTTCCCACTTCTCCTCTGCAGCAACAGCTTTTCATTCTCTCCACAAAATAAGGAAGTGTGGGGGAAAAAGCAGGTCAGCTATTATGTAATCTCACCCCTATATAACAAATTTTACCTCAGTCAATCATGCAGGGGAAGAACACAAACAAGAAAATAAACAAGCATGCAGCAAGAGATGGACTGGCCAGCTGCACCGGTGGCGCAGATTCAACTCAAGGGTGAATAAACCACGAATGCTTGAGTCAAACAACCACTATTTAAATTCAAGTAGAGGGTGTTATTTCAATTAGCACGGCTCTTCATGTTAAACATTGTTTATGTGCACTAGATACAAATTTATGTTAAGCTAAATGAGCATGATGGATGAGGGGATTTGGAGACTCGAGTGATCACAGTTCCAAATGACTCCGTTCACCACAAACTCATTTGCTCGATATGAGCGTCATCTTCACCCAATGACTAATTGAATAGAGTCAAGCTAATTTACAGGCCCCAGAACGCCACAGACACTTAGCGTCAGTGAGATATAGCACATATTAAATTAGAGCCCTGCCAACCATCCAGCCGGCTCCATCCTCGCTCATAGACGCAGCATTGCTCAAACACTGACTGGGCGATGCCGCACTTGCCTACGGAATAAATAATTCACACTTGCAGGTGCCCGGCAAGATGACTTCAAATGACACAAAATAATATTTGGTCGTAAGGGGAAAAAAAGTTGTTTTTCAGGCACTATGGACATCTGCCTAAAAATGTTTCTCTTGTACTTGGGCTTTCCAGCTACACTGACTGTGCTCTCTGAAGAATTGTTTTCTGAAAAACAGTGACCGCTCCGACTACATTTTTCATTTCAGGATAATACAGAACTGAGCCTCTTGACTCTTGTGACCAATACAGGAACTGTAAAGGTATTAAAAAGTGAAAAGCACAGCTGAAGCTGTCTATAAGTGCCAGTATGAGACAGAAATGCAGTCTGAAGGAGCAGTACAGCTGCCAAGGAAACAATAACAACAGCAGCTGCCACTGAAATATGAGTAGACATACAGTGTCCCCGAAAAAGCATTTAGACACTTAAGTTGCACTTAAAAATGTCTGGATGTCATTGCATTAGATGCAACATATCAAACCAAGTGGCATCTGCAAATGATGCAAGACTAGAACTAAATTCACTTTTCTAAGGCATTTTTGCAATTACTTTTTACCAGCTGGTCTTGAGGAGATTTTTAAGGAAAGTATACAGTCAGTTCCCTTCACTGTCATAGTTGAGTAACTATGGACAAGTTCCACTAACGTTTGGCAACCAAATAATTTTTTATTCTTTATTCTAAGCTGTATATTTATTGCTGAATCATTTGAGGCCTAAAACATGTTTGTGAAGCAAAATTAATCCTATATTTCTTAAAAACGGAACACCACTCAATGTTTTGTCATACAACACAAAAACATTCATATAGCAAAGTGTCCAAAATGTATCAGTGCTCTGAACTTGTGTCTTGACAGTAGTGGTCAACCGATATATCGGCAAGGCCGATATATCGGCCGATATTTGGCATTTTTCAAATATCGGCATCGGCCGATAAGTTTTTCTGTTTGGCCGATGCGTTCATGGCGGGATTTTTATTTTGACGGCGCTGAGAACGGCAGACAGTGCTCACATTTTCCCTCCTGTTCGCTGTCGTTGTTAACAGTTCTGTCCACGGACAGAAGTCTGTCTAATAATCAGATAGAACTGTTAAACAAAGGAATTAAAATGTATACAAAAAAGTATTATAACGATTGCTTTTATATTGTTAGTAATAGAAAGGCAAACATTATAATACTTTCTCGTTTGCCGTCAGCATTCAAGCTGGGGCTCTGCAAAGAGACAGAAGGTAGAAAGAGAGAGAATGAGAAAAAGACAGCGTTAAACAGGCATTGCCACAGTGAAAGTGTTAGGGGCTTTAATGCTCTTGGCTTAGCAAGAGCTTTCCATGGTCTACAGATTTGAGCCTGCATTACAAACAAGAGATCAGACCACAGTGACAGAAGAACAGGAACAAAAAAAAATAATTTATATATATATATATATATATACACGTGGGAATAGTAACC